AAGTGAAGTTCTGTAAAGGACCTGTTACATGATGATGGTGTACATGTTTCATCTCCGTCTCATTTTTGTCTGCCTTACAGTCATCAGTTGAAGAATGTTGTTTTAGAGTAACAACTTAACAGGTCCCAGATAGGGAAGAATATAATTATTTATTGGTCCACACATACGACAGTCTTGGCTGACTTGCAAAACTACGCCAGCGAAATGAAGGGAACTTCTGAGTGCAGGAAAAAAGCCATTCCTGTACAAAGACTGGTGTGTTTATATCTGGAAGAATCTGTTTAAGATTAAAGGTTCTTTTATCGAAGAAGCAAAAGTGTGTAGCATAAATAGCAAAAGCTATAGTTACCGTGCCAGGAATTAAGATATTTCAGGAGATAAACAGAAACAATGCCTAGATACCGTTGAGGAGATGGGGACTGGCAGGCTCATCGGGCAGTAGTGTAAAAGCAATCTACAAGATTTGAGAGATTGTTACGCTTTTTGAAAAATGCAGCTTATATATATATATAACTGACCAACAAACTAGCACACACACACATGCTATATATATATATATATATATATATATATATATATATATATATATATATATATATATATATATATATATATATATATAAAGGGTTGCGGCATTAGGGAGGTTGAGAACCACTGATATACACTATCTAAGGCAGCCATAAGGAAATGTGATTCTCGAATCCTGTCTGTCACATAATAATTGGGAACCATATACATGTCATTTTTTTTTTTTTAGTTAGAGATGATGTTTTCCACGATTGCTTGCCATCATCCCCCCCCCCCCACACACACAGAGAAACGCACACACACACATATGTGTGTGTATGTAGAATCGTAAAAATTCAAAAACAAACATAGCTGTAGGAATTAAGTTACTGATTCGTGAACATTATTTCTTCTTTGGAGAAATAAGTTTCTGAATATTTGTTTTACAATTTAAAATTCAAGTTTGTAAAAACGATCACACAAGGGAACTAAAATTGTATTTAAAAAGGATTAAATAAAATATATATATATATATATTTTTTTTTTTTTTTGCATAGTCCGTCACCTACAACATTGTTTCAGGAATATCCACATCAAATTTTATATTTCTAGTCTTTGTATTAGTCAAGATTTTGGAGTTTTTGACGTACAACAATCTAAAAATCAAAACTGACATAGATATCAATTTTACATGGAGTCTGAGTGCAGACTTACGAAATTACCGAAGGTTACTGTTTTACTGTACCAGCACTTTCGCCGGAAAACTAGGATGTGTCATCAATATTGTGATATTCATGACCCAGAGAAACAAACAAAACTAACGCTTGGTCTATACAGAACATCATTTTTTTTTTTAAATTAAAAACAACATATGTATTGTAAATTCTAGAATTGTAAAGTAAAGGTCCCTTTCAGCCTATATGTTTAATAGACCAATTTGCACACGATGGGTGATGTTGTCAGCATCACGCCGGCTGCCTTTACTTCCCGGCTAGATCGACCTGGGAGTCATGGTCATTTTTGAAAAAAGTCCGGCTCCGCCAGTAAATCCCCGACTTTTTGATCCGCACGCGAGCGTCTAGCCGCTACGCCACGGCTACTCCCAAATTCTAAAACTGTATTCTGCTTATTTGCAATGGATCGCACATATCAAAGGAATCGGCAGATTAACTACATTCTAATAATTTAAGGACTTAAGAATAGAAACATTTAGGCGGCGTGGATATTCAAAGGCTGCATGCAAAAGATTATTAAAATCTAACAAGTAGTTTTCGAGAAAATAGATTGGAAACGTGTTCTTGAATTTTTGAACTGACTACAGTACTCGAGGATTATGCAATTGTTAAGAGCATTCAATCGCCTATGACCCTCGCTGGTGGCTTCTTGCACCATCCTTTGAAGACTACAGTTATTGTTTGCTACCCTTCTTGTCCAGCAGAAATATTGTGTAACTATTTTTATATATATATATATATATATATATATATATATATATATATATAATAAACAAATATATAATGTATTGATCGGCACTCATAGAAAAACGAAGAAAGATGGAAAGACACACTAGACCCCCCCCCCCCAACCCCCCTTTAAAAAAAAAATCGAAATGCTATTGTTACCGTGCCGGGACTCGAGCCTGTCATCTCTAAATGGCCCGCGTCATGACGTGCCGAAAAAAAAAGCAGGAAACGGCGTAATGCTGACCACATTACCCAGCTAGTGACGATTGGTCAGTAAAAATATGGGTGCGCCTACAAGCATGAAAAGGGATCTTTACTTTACTATGTTCTGTGAGTCATTAGAATTACATGTTGGACTGTGGCACTCTCTGGCAATCGCAGAGCTGCCGTTGAAACTATATGTATGGTAATTGAGAAAACCATCAAAATGCCTCTCAAATAATTAGAATTTTTTTTCTCAACACAACAAGCTATTTGTTCATTAATAACACCCACTTTCTTTTATTTGTTAAATCCTAAAATTTTTTGAGCCAATTAAACATCAAACTTCATATATTTCAACCAGCAGCTTTCTTGTTGAGTCACGTTTTGTCACCCTTGGATTTCTCCTTTAAATGTAAAATTTTTTCATTTGTTTTAAAACCGCATTTATCCCAAAAAGGAATCTCTTGGGAAAACTTATGTCTGTAAATATTATTCCTAATAAATGTCTCTTACAGCGTTTTTTTTTTTTTTAATTACTTTCTACGAAAATGATTTGCCATTTCTGGCTTATTGTTAGCTTCGACCAATTTCCCTATTTTTACTTATTTCTCACGTATAATCAATAGTTTCGCATTCTTTAACAGACGGTGTATTCCGTAGAATACGTGATTTTTTGCCTAATTTTTGGTCCACGTCACATCTTATAGATTGCAGAAGAAACCTTCAGCCGCTTTTTTATTCATATTTACACAAGCTGTATAAATATGATTTTTTATTTTAACTTTTATCGGAGCAACAATAGGGACAGGTCGGCGCAAGGAACCTAATCTTTGTCTGAGACCATAATAACAATAATGTACTAACACATTTAATAATTAGTTGATATAATATATAAAGCATTAAACATATTTGAAGAAAATTTCTATACAGTTCAAAGAAGGGGGTGGGGGGGGGGGCTGCGTAACCTTTTTTACACAATTACTGGGAGAAGAGAAGGCTAAGCCCCCCGTCCCCCACCCTCGCCACTCGGCCAAAAATCCCCCCCCCCCCCAAAGAGACAACCCCCCCCCCCCCCTCCCCCCCCCCCCCCCCCCCTACACACCCACAAGAGACCTGAGCTCCCAGAACCTGCGCTCCTTTTCTGATCAAACAACAGCACATGGTGCAATTAGTCAGCACGCTGTATACATAGACATGTAACTGCTTTGTGTTTCATTATTTAAATATATTTCACAATCAGGCAGTTTATCGACCGCCTTGTATCGATTCCTGTCACATTGATTGATTGTACATGTATAAATATACAGCCTGTTTTTGGAGCTAGAGAAATATCTACAAGGGGAATGTGGAGGAGAAGGCTGAACAAAGGAGAATATGTTATGCTTGTTTTTAGAAGACACCTTTGGCCAGAAAGTAACGTAAGATACATCTATTGGTTTATGTAACTCAGTAATTGCGATGCCACATAGGTCAGAAATACGAATCTTAGATTATGATCTTCTAGTGTGGGTTCCGGGGCCCCGCTGTGAGAAAAGCAAGAATAGACCCACTGCCTTGTCAAAAATCATTTTGTAGGAGTCAACTCATTGGCAAGGAACAACCAGCTGCACACAAATAAGTCAGTAAAATGAATCTACATGCAAAACTCTGACCATGGGACAAAGTCAAAGTCAAAATAGTCGAACAACCATGATTTTCCTACCAAATTTACAGTCGGTGAGCAAAGAAGAAGAAGAATATGATCAGATCGTACAGTTAGCATTATGAGCTATAGCAAAACTTCTTTTTTGTTTTTGATTTTTTCTTTTAAGGATCGTCAAGCATATGATTTGGATCTATCTATCTTCTTTTACCCCACCAGGACATCACACAAGCGATAAACACCCGATGACACAAAGTGCCACCATGTGGATGAGGATCACCCGTGGAGAGGTCCCAGAAACCGCATTCAGCCATTAGACCATATTTATGGCCAGGCTATATTGCGGCCCCTGGCTAGAGCCTGAGTGGGGCTTCAAATAACGAAAAATTGCATCCCAAAAAGGAATGACAAGATGTTTTTGGATGATTAGGACGAAAATACAACCTTATAAGTGGGGTGTGGGAGAGGGGGCGAAAGTTGGTCCGAGGTAGGCAGCAATACATCAATAGCTGGGTATTTAGTTCTCATGGACGCCCCACTATTGGTATCAATAAACACACGCCATTTGTTGTACCTACATAGTGCTCTATACTGGTTACGCACAAACGTGAGATAGAGTTCCACCCGTTGACATGATAAATCACTGTTTTGCATGATTCTTGTTGTCTTTGAGGTTAAAATTAGGGGTCGTCTTTTACAGAGAATGTGAGTTCAATAAGTATTTCATAAATCATGAAAAGGGGGAAAATGTGTTATAGGGTGTCTCTATACGTTTGTCAACCTCCTTGAAACCATAGATAGTATGACAATTTAACAGACATAAGGGAATCGCCGATGGGAAAATACAGTAGTTAATTAATGTATGCGAATGATACAGTATTCATTGCTAATAGTGAATCGGATCTGCAATGCTCTGTGGAAGTCTTTCAATATTTCATAAATTTAAAGATAATCTACAATTGCACCTCGTAAAACAGTGGTTATTATTACTGGGAATATCGAAACTACCCCATCTGAATCACTGTAAAGGTATCTCAGTATTTTGGGAGCTGGGGTAGGTGGGTGTGGGTGGGTGAGGGGTGGGGTGGGGATTGGGTGGGGGTATGGTGTGGGTGGGTGCTAGGGAGGAGTTGGGGAATCGAGAGATGATTACATGGCTTGGTTGGCCACGTGGATAGACGCAGGGGAAGCACTGACAAAGGAAGCACTGACAAAGGAAGCACTGACAAAGGAAGCACTGACAAAGGAAGCAGTGACAAAGGAAGCAGTGACAAAGGAAGCACTGACAAAGGAAGCACTGACAAAGGAAGCACTGACAAAGGAAGCACTGACAAAGGAAGCACTGACAAAGGAAGCACTAACAAAGGAAGCACTGACAAAGGAAGCAGTGACAAAGGAAGCACTGACAAAGGAAGCACTGACAAAGGAAGCACTGACAACGGAAGCACTGACAAAGGAAGCACTGACAAAGGAAGCACTGACAAAGGAAGCACTGACAACGGAAGCAGTAACAATGGAAGCAGTGACAAAGGAAGCACTGACAAAGGAAGCACTGACAAAGGAAGCACTGACAAAGGAAGCACCGACAAAGGAAGCATTACGATCAACATAGTGGAACCGACCACTTATACAAGTGTACATGTTATCTCAATATGTGTTGTATAAATAGACATATCATCAACGTCGGATGATGGTGTTCGGGGTGTTTGTACGTTTGTACGTTTGTATCTCTCACACAGCCTTCTCTTGTTAACATAAAATTCTTTACCATATGGTGTTTTTGCAGTGGCTAGAGTCATATTATATTAGTACTCCATTGTTGTGGAATCAGGCTGAATTATAGACCCGGCCAACAATGTCACTATTTTTTTAAAATGTATAGTTAGTTAATCATGCGTTGAACTACACGTCTTCCTGCAGAGATGCGCTGTCGTCACTTGGAGTTATGATTTCAATATAAATTAAAACAGTAATCTAGGCAATACAATGTGCACGGAAGTTGACAGTGCTAATATGAGTTAAAATAGTAATCTAGTCAATACAATGTGCACGGAAGTTGACAGTGCTAATATGAGTTAAAACAGTAATCTAGGCAATACAATGTACACGGAAGTTGACAGTGCTTACATGACTTAAAATAGTAATCTACTCCATACAATGTGCACGGAAGTTGACAGTTCTAATATGAGTTAAAATAGTAATCTTGGCAGTACAGTGTAACCGGAAGTTGACTGCTGATATGGTGGAGTTAGCGGAGAAGTGCAAGGATGAGGTTACAGTGGAAGAATTGGATTGCACAGAGTTGGAGTTGAAAATCTTTACTTGACTGCTTTTATTTATGACATAAACAGTCTGCGGTACTGGTAAACGGATATTACATTTCCGTCTGTTATTTATATATTTATTGTGCTATTTATGTTATTGTAATAAGATCACACAGATAAAAAAAAAATACAATTGTACTTATAATATGTATTCTTATTATGTAATGATGTAAACAGGAATGACTGCAGTCGAGCAACAAATGTTAAATATTTAAAAAAAAATGTTTACTATACAGCTCAACGGAGAGACTGGCAAAAAGTAAATACAAAACATGTTGACTTGAAAACACAACAGACAAGACAGCAGAGCTAATACAAAAGGAAAGTGAACATGAAATCAACAAGTAATTATTGCGGGAAAAGGGGGGGGGTTGCATATAAAATTGAAGGACTAAATACAAAACGAGAAAAAAAGAAAGTTAACAAAATGATCCATTCAATATAATTTCTTATAGGGAAAATTTATTTCACTCTGTTCAAAAATTCTATCTCCGAATAATTTTCAAAAACGAATTTCGTTGAAGATTAGAACTTCTTAATATAGGTTTACTATTGTCCAAACTGTCACTTCTAAGACTTCATTGAAAGCAAATAAAATATAAATACGTTTTTGCTTACAACAGCTCTGAAGTCAGGCTTTTATTCGATAGCCCCTGATTAAAATCTTCCTATGAAAATGAATGCATATCTAGTGAGGTCTGGCAACCTAGTCATGCACCACGTCTGACCTATTTCGCACAAGCGTCCATCATTCCTCTCTTTTCTACACCAACCGCGTTTTTTCCAAGCATGATTCTGTACTCAGTGGCGGAGTAGCAAGATTGTCAGATTGACCAATGGCAAGAGAGTTCCTGATACCCTGAACCGCAGATAAATGGGCACTGATTTAATATTTTATGTATGTTTAAAATGATTTTAATCTTATACGTAAGAACAGGACCCCGTTTCAAACCTTTAGGCTTACTGGGAATCTAGGGCTAGGCCTATAATTTATAGGTGTATTTTCTAGACCAATGTGGTCAGCATAACGCCGGCCACCTTTACGTAACAGGATTGCAGCTGATATCCACTCAAGGCTAGAAGCCAAGTAACTTATGATCAAAAGTCTAGCTCCGTTAGGACCGAACCCTCAAACTTCCGATCCGCCTGCGAGCGTCTAGCCACTACGCCACGGCGACTCACAGGTAATATAACAGAAGTGCAAATAATAGTGCTATATGCAGCTGACATTTACATTTACTTTGAAACAATTTGCTTTCAATTAGAATACAAAACATTCCTAATACAATTTCAATAAAAGTTGCCACAGCCCCACTACTTAACCGTTGGCCTTCAGTTAGCTGTAGATGGGAAGTTTTGATTTTTCAAGAATGATATACACTCCGACCATTCAAAACACGCCAAAGCTGACTTATAAAACCACAAACGTCCCTATGTGGATTGTAGTGCTCTATCGTGGGGGTGGGGGAGAGGAGGGCGAGAAGGGAAAGAAAAGATCTGCTGTCCTAGCAAGTGTGTTATATAGGTGTTTTCTTAAAAGTCTGAGTAAATCTGCCTGGGAGATGAGGAACAAACAGTCTACATACAAAAAGCCAGACCTGTAAAACGAATGTACACGCAAAACTCGGGAATAAGATCACAGTCCAGAAATGGTCGAACAACCAGAACTTTCCCCTGAAGTTTACCGACGGTGAAGGCCCATATTTTTATATAGACCAACGGCACAAGATGGGTGATGTGGTCAGCATCACGCCGGCCACCTCTACTTCCCGGGACTGAACCCGGTACTCACTGTGACGTGACGGGTGGTTTAAATGTTTACAATGTTGAGTAGGGATGTTCCTCTCAACACATTCCCTCCACCAGATTAACCGAACTAAAATCTGAGCTATGTTGCTCTCAAACAAAGTCCTGGATATCCAAGAAAACAGCCATATTGGCTCGTTAAGTACATTAATATTAGCTGAACTTGGTACCCACAAGAGAAGGCAAGGAATTTTAGATGTCTATAGCATTATATTAAATGAATTATTAGACAGGGCAAATGATTCCTCCGTCATCTACCTTCTCCCGGTGTTATTATGAATAATTAAAGAATTATTATATTATTTGAACCCCCACCAAATGTTATTCTATCCTAACAGTTTAATTAAACAGGTAAGACTGAATACACTTGGAATTACAAAAACTGATGCAGGATAAAACTTGACATACAGCTTTATTTACTAACAATGATATTCCCAGTTTGTTGATTTACAAAAACAGTGACTGGTTAATTTGATGATAGTGATAAGCTTCAGCGAGAAAAACAGCTCGGGGTTTAGAGTGGTATGATGATGATGGTAATATTAACTTAAAAGATGTTAACTTAGCTTATAAGCCTCTGACAGCCGCGAGGAACTGTCAAGCTTGTCCAACTCTTCCTTGCCTGTTTTCTGCCTGTTTCAGCTTATTCTCCACTTCATCCCCTCCTCGGTCTCCACATCGCTCCCACCTCGTTCTCCACCTCGTTCTCCACCTCGTTCCCAGCTGGCCGAGTCTAACACAATGTAGTCTCTTTCATGGACTGATCGTCACATGGGCGCTGTAATCATGGAAACAAACACATACGTGTAGTATCTTAACTTACACTAAGAATACATGTATCAATTATTGTAACATATAATAATAAAATATATCCCATCACTCCTCCTCATATTCCACATTCTCTCCAGTCTAGTCTGAAGGTCTTTTGTCTTACATGGGCTTCACATATCCTGCCTTCCCTCCAATGCTATGTCATGATAGTTGACTTTCTAAGTCTGTTGTCCGTCATCACTCAGACTTCCAACAACTGGCTGACATTGATATTACATGACCACGTCTAGCAGGTTATGTGCTGAAAACTCCAACACTTTATAGGTGCACGCTGTCCTGAATATTATCTTTCATTGGCAGTGAATTCTATACACCCATCATTCTTCCCCTGGGGTTATAACTCCCCTGTTTAGGTGAACACATTAAGTGAGCACATGGTGGGCACACAAACGTAGCAGCATCCCTGCACATATTTTGGCATCATTTCCCTCAGTACCAACTCATATTTTTCCTGATCATGGAAACAATATGATTACATTTCATTATAGCAAATGTCATGGTTCACATCTTATTTTATACACATGGAAACATACACTGAAAAACATGTGACACAAACATACAAGAAATAGGAATAGTTTAGCAGTTCCCTAACTGAGATACTGAATACTCACAAAGAACTATTTCAAGCAGAATGTGCAGACAAATTAGGAAAAGGTAGTATAGACTAAGCTTAACTCCCTAACCTATGTATACAAGATTAAAATTAATATTTTCTCTTACCTGGGAACTTTCCATCAATCGCCAAAACAGAATGCGACCGTAAATTACCTTTACGTCGACCTGTGTTTGTTTGCCGGCAGGCTGCGATTAATGACGGGAATTCCACAGGCTCGAAGTATAAGTATCAATCTATTGTCCAAATTAATCTCCTCCCTTTCCTCGGTTTTACCCAACCCTCAAGACGATGACCTAAGCCCCGCCTCTGAAGTACCTACCAGATCAAATTAGCTAACAAGTGGCCTGTCAGTCAATTCTGGACTGACGTCCCTAGAGCGAACATTCTTAAGTGACCCAATCTAGTTTACAACGAATCTAACTAGCTGGTGTGAAAACGGTCCGTGAAGCCATTGTGTTTACTACTTGACCCAGATCAAACATTCCTAATTGCCAAACACCTGTTCTGCCAAGAATACACTGACTTGTGAAACTCCGACCTCCCGGCTCCACAATGTCTAGCGTCCACTCAATTTACCTGGTCAAAAGGGCCCCGCTCAGTCTCTACGGTCTGGTCAGGAGATAACATTCTGACACTGGCGTGTGAAAGGAAATTCTCTAGTCTCGGTGTAATTGCGTAACATTACCCAAGACTCAGTCGCTTGGTCTGGACTAAGGACTGGAAACAATTAACTCCGTGCGGTTCGAAGTAACATTAATAACCAGAAGAACTTAATACAAGTACTAACTTCTGGAACCACTGAGATCGTTTCGTGACACCCACTCAAGGCTAGGTCATCCTGGACGCCAAGGTCATTTTTTTAATGAAAAGTGCGGCTCCGCCAGGGAGCGAACCCACGACCTTCCGATCCGCGGCGCGCATCTAGCCGCTCTGCTACGGCGACTCCCATGTATATATGTACACAAACATATATCTCTATGTATATTACAATTAGTAACGTATCCTTGACAGGACGGTGCATACTCGTACATGTTTAAATCGCTATCAAATAAGCAATTGTTCTTGTGAAGAATTTAACAATGCATTTG